GCAGTGCAACAGCTGCATATGCACATATGCTGCTGCTATGTAAGAGACAGTGTGTGTGTGGGGTATCGAGGGGAGGTTGTGTGTCTGAGGTTGTGGTTCGGATAGATTTCACAGGAGGTGCTCTCCTACTGTGCATTTCCTACCAGCTTGAGAAGGTTTGGTTTAAAGTGTTGGACTAGTGGTGAGTGGCTTTATTGGCATGATTTGGGAGATGAACAGCCAAGCGTGAAGCTTGCGGTGGAAAGCCACCGTGGTGGTTTACGACCAGCGGCAATTTTGCACGACAGGGAAAGGGGAAAGGAACATAGGCGCCGATGAGTTGATTCCCGCGCGGATATCTCGATCTGTGTCACGTGTTATATTCGGATCCGAAACTCATTACAGAGAAAGAGCCGCCCCAGTCGGGATAATTCTGGACCTCGGGTTCGCAAACTTGTCCGAAGGGACAAAAAAAAAATGCCACGCGGTTTCTGTGTCGATCATATGTTATCTACCCTTCCCTCGATATTAAAGAAAAAAAAGGAAAGCGAGCCAGCCCACTGACCAGACGGGAATACTCAATAGGGAAAGGGAGGATGACGAGGAACTGGGTCGGAATGTGGGGGATACTGGGGACCTTTTTCTTCCCTCGGGGTGGAGCTTTGCAGCGTGGTTTGCCGAACGGGAGATGCGCTAGCTGGAGCTGGGTTTCCAGTGTGGCTTGTGTGCAGCCAGCTTGTCTATCCGTGGCGTTTTTGGCAAACCAAAACCCAAGAGTGTGGTACAGTAAAATGAAGGGGCCGGGGTGGTGGTCGTGATGTGGGTTCATACGCGCGCGCGCGCCCGCGCGTGTTCTCTTCTTCTACCCTTTGAGCCCAGCCACATCCAATTTGTGGAGGTTTACGCCACACTATGAAAATTCTGTTTATACTTTGATAGATGCCTACTAAGCATCGTGATCCGCGCGTGTTCTCTTTCTTGGTGACGGCACGGGTAGGTAGGCAGACGTGTTTGTGCCAGGATAGAAGAGAAAATGGGGTTGGTCCGATGTTAGATCGTTCGGTTGATGGTGCAATCAGGTACCCGAGACCAAAAGACGACACTAGACTAAGAACAAAAGGTGTGTAAGGTTGTATTCTCCTTGCCCCCGTCACGCCTATCCCAAATACGAAGCCTGGCCCGGGGGGGCAGGGAAATGAGGATGTGCTGGATGTGGTTACGTGGTTGGTGGCGTTTACGCAGAGGGGGCGTAAGACGGGCACACATTGGAAGCTTTTCGGGTTAAGCTTTCTATGGGGCTTTTGCGAAGGTGTTCCTGGATGTCTGGCGTTTTGGCGTTTCTCGGCTGGGGGTTAGGGTTGATGAGGATGGGCAGAAGAAAGGGGTGGGCTGTGGATGTGAGAGTTCTTTGTCCTTGGGGGACCTCCACAGTTCGGCTCTGATCGTACGAATAGAGAGGGTGGTGTTCGTCATCTTTGTATGGGTATTTTCAGCAAGTTATTAGCCTTGGTGTTAAGTTGAAGGATCTTCTGTCTCTTGTATTCGCAGATGAGATGTCAACTTCAATTTGCGTGATGTGAGCAGTACTGCGCATCGAACGGACGCGTACGATGTAGTCGGTGTTTCCGAAGGACTCAATCATGTCGTACCAGAGCCCAATATAGTTTAATATGCTGATTTTGCAAAAGATGGCTTTATTTATCATGTTGGTTCCCGGCCGTATTTTCGCACGTTGTTAATTGTTTATAATTCCTATCGAATCTTCCCTGTTTTGTCAATTACTGCCCCAAAATATTATCACGCTCGTAGTGTGTTGCCTGAAACAATTCTTCTTGGCTTGAAATTGAACATCGTCAGTCGCGTCTCAAGTTTCTCAGCATTGGGTAAATCGAATGGAATTCCGTGCGCCAGCCTCGAGCGGGCCATGGCAGAAAATGCGATTGCGTTTGTGGCGCAATGTGTCGTATATCACAGCAGCATCTCAAATACAGCAACAATACCAACTGGCTCAGTGTCATACGCCCGAAGTCTGCGCGGCAACCCGTCAATGATAGTGACAGGTTTCAACAAGTCATCTCTCACTTACTCTCTGCTGCACATGTGACATGTACAATCCATTATGTGCTCCTTAGTACTGATGCAAAGTTGCCGCCGTCAGAAACTCACAAACGGCCTAATTTTGAAATTAAAAGGGACACACATCATGTAACCTGGCGCCTGATGCCGACTTTTATATCACTGCTATCGGCCTTGCACGGCCGTAGATGTCCGCCGGGCCGCTGACAGATGTGGGTCCCGCGGACTTTACTCGGCCGGGCCGGGGAGATAGGAATCGGCCCCGGTCACGGTTCTCCCAGATGAACCAATGGCATCTCACTCAATGGTCAAGCAAGTCTGGGCATCACCGTCAACCACACTTCTATGGCTCCATTCTCAGCACAGCCGAGTCTCTCGTAGTTAGCTCGGGTCGGTGTCGGTCCCCGACATTGAATCATGGGACGATCCGGTGGTCTCAGCAACGCAGATCACTCAATGCAATTAGACGGCAAAACAGCATGTGCAGAGGGAAAGAGACAGGCAGAGTTGCCGTTAGACTCTGCCGAACCCCGTCATCCATAATCCAAAACTCGGTGGGAGCCGTCATACTCGGGCAAGAGAATCGCAAGTTCTGACCGATGTAGCTTGGCACCATGTGTCTCCGCGGGGCTAGCCGCCGGCGGCGGGGAGTGTGGGGTCCCGGCATGTCCACCACAGCATGCAACGCGGGGAGTACCCGCGGCGGTGCCTTCGCCCAGAAAAATGCCCGTACCCCGGACTCTGAGAACAACGACTCAAACGGGAGGCGAATACTTTAAAAGGCTAGACTTTCTCTCCTCAACGGAATCAAACCTAAAAAGACGCTCCCTCAAGACACAAGCAAAGCCAACCCAACCGATCACCCCCCGGATGTTGATAAGGAGCTTTGGACACCTTCCAGTCTTTCCCACCCACACCTCGTCGCTTTTCCGCTCTCGCTCTCGTTGCGTTGCATTGCGATAGCTGCCAATTTTTTATCGCTGCAGCACCGATTTCCGCTCACATCAGAAAAAAAAAACATGGCCGGCCACTTCCGAGCTTCGTTGGCGGCTGCCACGGCCCCACCCTCCAAATCCTTCCCCGACCGGCCCCAGTTCTCGGGCTTCATGAAGCCGTGCCGGTTCGAGGGCGAGGTCCGCAACCTCGAGATTGCCGGGACTGTGCCGACCGAGCTGGACGGCACTTTCTACCGCGTCATGCCGGATCCGCAATTTCCTCCCTTCATTGATAATGATCCTGTAAGTTTTAGTGAATGACGTTTTCTTTTGGTTTTATCTAGTTGGTATCGTTGCTGATTTGTTGTGCGTCTTTGCATAGTGGTTCAATGGTGACGGAAATGTGTCAGCGTTCCGCTTCCACAATGGCAACGTTGACTTCCAACAAAAATACGTCAGGACGGAGAAATTCGTTCGAGAACGAGAAGCAAATCGAGCGTTAGCAGGTAAACTTGATCCTTCACTTGATTGCCTTCTCACCAAAGCGGCACCACTTTCGCTAACATAAAAATCTACCCAGGAAAATACCGCAACAAATACACCGATGCGGTAGAATTCAAAGTTCGCACAACAGCAAACACCAACGTCTACTACTTCAACAAGTCCCTCCTCGCCATCAAAGAGGATGCTGCACCCTACCTCATGGACCCCGTTACCCTCGAGACAAAAGGTCTCTGCGACTTTGATGGCCAGTTGCCCAGCCTGACCTTCACCGCACACCCCAAGCTGGACCCTGTCACGGGCGAGCTCGTGTGTTTTGGGTACGAGGCCAAGGGTGATGGGACGCCCGACGTGTGTTATTTCAGTATTGACGCAGATGGGAAGTTCAACCAGACGGTGTGGCTGGTGGCGCCCGTCGTCGGGATGATTCATGATTTCGCGGTGACGGACAACTGGGTATGTCGAAGTTTACCGGGTCCTCATGACTTTGCTAATGTCATTCGCAGGTCCTATTTCCTATGATACCTCAGATATGCGACATTGAGAGACTAAAAGCTGGAGGCGAGCACTGGCAATGGGACTCGAACGTTCCCATCTACATCGGCGTCCTGCCCCGACGCGGAGCCAAAGGCAGCGATGTTAAAGTAAATACAAACAACTCCTCAGCCTGCCACGTAACGGTCTGACTGACGACTTTCCAGTGGTTCCGCGCACCAAACGCCTTCCCAGGACACACCACAAACGCCTACGAAACCCCCGCCGGCAAGATCGTCTTCGACCTCCCGCTCACCGACAAGAACGTCTTCTTCTGGTGGCCCGACGCCGAGGGCAACGCGCCGGACCCGCACGACATCCACGCCGAGTACGTGCGCTTCGAGTTCGACCCCACGGCCACGGAGCACTCGCTCGACCTGCCGAAGCCGACGGTGATCCTCAAGCACGACATGGAGTTCCCGCGCATCGACGACCGCTTCGCAACCAAGGCGCACCGGCACAGCTGGTTCGACATGATGGATCCGTCGCTGGGGACCGACTTTGCGGCCATCATGCCCGTGCTGGGCGGCGGACACCCGCTGTACAACGCGCTGGGTCACTTGGATCACGAGACGGGGAAGCTGGAGGTGTACTATCCTGGATCCACGCACATGGTTCAGGAGCCGGTGTTTGTGCCGAGGGGGGAGGATGCGGCTGAGGGAGATGGGTTTCTGGTGGTGCTGGTCAACAATTACAAGACCATGTCTAGTGAGTTGCACGTTATTGATACACGGAAGTTCACGGAGGCGGCGGCAGTGGTTAAAGTGCCTATGAGGCTGAGAGCAGGGCTGCATGGCAACTGGGTTGATGCGAAGGAGCTAAGGTAGAGACTGTCTAGGTCTAAATGATGGTTGTTCGAGATGATGACTGTGTTGAAAATTCCTGTGAAATCAACCACGGTAGCGTAACTCATACCCACATCTTGTTCTACTGATTCTATCGTCATGGAGAAGGTTCCCTTCCCCTCGTACACCATCAGATATCGATGGTAGATCCAATGGGCCCGAAGCGGATATTTGACCACGCGATCTTGCTACATCGAGATCAGCCAAGGTTTTGGGTGCCTAGTAGACATGGGCAATTCTTACGCTTTCGACCAACCCCACTGCGTGTCCAAGTCATTCGGGTCATTCTCCTGCCATGGACAAGGACCCCGAATTCCGCCAGGATCATTGCCTCTGTCGACGGGGTAGGTGGAATCGAGCCAAAGGTTCCAAGCATAGTACTGGGAAGTACCAAATCAGTTGGGTTCAAATATCAAAGTTTGGAAAGATAGAAGGTTTCGTACATCATCCTGGATGGACAAGGCCATCACCATAGGCCGGCGTAGGATGTCGTTCTGGCGGGCCACGCCTCCAAGAGCCTCAAAGGTATCCGGCTCACTAAACTGCCAGGTCTTGGCCCGGCAATACTCCTTACTCAACCCATTGGCGTCAGGGAAGTTCGGCAGAGCCGGGGATGGAGCATCGATTCTCTTGCCGTCCTGGATGAAGAACTTGGCGATCTTGTCCTCCGCGAACTGAGTGACGACTCTGAAGAAACATCAGCTTAGACATATTTCTCAGTGAGAGAAGGGCACGAAGAGTTCATACGTAAACTTCTTCGACGTATCCACGTCCCCTCCGATCCCGTAAAAGTCCGTGACACCAAGCCTGTACGGGTTATAATCGCAGCCGCCACCGTCGCACTGCCGCAGGCGTTCCTCGCCACAAGCCTCGTTTTCGCAAACGGAATAGGAGTTTATGCGGCTGCATATCTTGGACGACGTCTGGAAAGCTCTGGAGTTGGAGTTCCTACGACGATGAGCCATGTCAGGTCACGAATCAAGGGCCCTTACCAGACATCAAACTCGGGACAGCATGCGCCGCGGTTGCCCTCGCCTCGAAGAGGATCCCAAGCGGAAGGATGCCAACCGTCAAAGTTAGCCTGCAAAAACGTCAATATTATTACCACCCATGACTTTCACTTGCAATGACCATGAAGGACTCACCTCACCGCCGACAAATCTCACCGATCTCGTACACGACGCATCACAATACCCCGTCCCGTACCTCGCACCCGCCTCATTCCCCTCATATCTCTCCAGCCCCCCATCAGCGTCCATGGCCAAAAACGTCAATGCGCCATTCAACCCGCACGGCACCGTGCCCAAGTCAACATCGAACGCAAGCTCGTTCCCAAGCAGCGAGAACGTCTGATACTTATCCCCGCCCCCCTCCATCAAGAACACCCTGGAGTTTCGGCTCTTGCTGAAATCGATCGGCGTCTCATATTGCTGGGAGATGGAATCGCCGTTGGTCACGATGCCGTAGCCGGGGTAGTAGGCGCCGTCGACGGCACAGCGCTCGGTGCACGATTGCGTCGAGTTGCAGTAGTCCGTCTGCCATTCCTGGCGCTCAAAGCAGCTGTGCCAGTCGTCGACGACGTGGATCCAGCGGTACTCTGCGTCGATGGTGATCTCACCTTGGACTGTGTCGCAGGCGGAGCTGGTACATTGCTTCCAGGAGAGCTTCGGATGGATCTCTTGCTGCAGGTCGCCCACCTTTTGCGCCTCAGCGAGAAGCGCCAGAGATGAGATAATTAGCACTGGGCGCATGATTCAATTGTGGTGAAGTTGCTTGTGAAACACAGTCATGATAGGATCTTTTCAGAATGCAATCACGGCACCACCTTCAAGACATTTATATCCAATTCACCTGGAACTCGGGAAGTACTCTTCTCCGACGCCCATTGTGATAATCCAACGCTCCGCTGATCGAGACTCCAAAGGTCCGTATGCATAGACCGAGTAATTAGTCGTTCAGCATTGGTCGGGCGCAGGTATTGATCATGTGCATTGGATTATGGCCAAGAAATGGATTCTACGGAGGGAGTTTCTCCTTCTGGATGCTTTGATAGTTGCCCTGCACCCAAACACCAGGCTGCAGATCTGATGGCTGCTGACGTGGGAGTCGGTTCAGTCCGAGAATGCGAAGGCCAGCCTGCTTATGCGCTCATGCTCCCTGAAAGGCTGCTCCCTTGGCAGAGGTCATGTTCGTCTCATATCAGAGGGCCTGGTCAATCAAACGATTCCCCAAAATACGTGGTTATCATACCAATGAAAGCTAGCTCGACTTTCTCATGCCACCTTGCTAAACACGTCAAGACCTCTCCATGAAGTCAGCTTTCTGAGGTCTTACAACTCGGGTGGCTTCTATCAATGAGTGAACACGGCCACCATGGCTGCCTGGCAATCAGTCGAACAGCCCCTGTGTTGAAAAGTTCGTACACATTTAAACATAAAAAACAAACACAAAAACCATCTTTGTTTCCCTTCAGAGTACCGGCCTTCCCCTTGTTTCAATTCTTTGAATTTTACAACATCGGTACTTCTCAACTGCTCGAATTCATCACCTTGGGATTGGTCCACATTTCGGTGAAGCAGACGAGAGGCAACCAAGCGAGGCAGACCAGCAGGCCCGACCCCACCCAGGAGGAAGACTTGTCATTCGTTTGTTTACTCGATTTTGTCCCCTTGAAATGGGTTCAGATTGCAGTGGAAAGGGCAAAAAACGAGGCGACCGAACCGAATTTACCTGCGGCTGCGTGCGACCCATCCAACCCACTGAGAAGGACTGCTACGACCTGCCGCATGCTCACCCATCGAAGGCTGAGAGAACGCACCGTATGAGCTTGGCCGTGACAGATAGGTCTGGAAGTTGAGTTCTTGATTTCCCATTTAAAAACCGCTGCCGTCGAATTTGAAGCGGCGGATTGCTTTTGTTGCAACTGGTAGTCATGCAACTAGATCGAATTGAATAGAGGATTGTTCTCTGAGTCTTACTACTTCTAGTTGAAACCTGATGCAAATCAAGCTACCTAGATGTAAAAGCGACATATGAATGCTACCTTGATCGTGTACTTCTGTCCGGCGAACTAAACAGTCCTTTGACACCGAACCTATACCTCTTGGTAGATAGAGCGTGAGCATCTTTCTGTGCTTTTCTAGGGTGCCAGACTTCCTCTGCACTGCTATGAGATACTACAACAATGGCGGGTGCCCATTTCATCAATCAGTCGACTTCATCCTCTTTGGGTGAAGCTTGAAATCGCAGCGGAGGACGGCTGTTGGAAACAGGCAGTCGAACTGCTGCAGGCTACTCAAGTTCATTCCCTCGGGATAGGTTTAAAATGCAGTGAAGATTTAAAGGATTCAAGGACAGCTTGGCAGCCATGCAAAGCAAATAGCTGGCGTTGATAGGTCGCCTTACTCAATAATATCCATGGATGCAGACAAGGACTGAGCGGGGAACACAGCCTCGGAGCTTGGCGCTGTAGGCACTGGAGCAGATTCATTCCATCGGGGTGGGTTTAAATTGCAGTGAAAAGGCAACGAAAGGCAACTGCGCTAACCGACCCGAATCCAATGGGAGTAACGACCTATCGCATGGTTCACTCACAGCTGAGACAACGCAGCGGATGAGACTGGCCGTAGTAGACGGGTCCAGAGTTGATTTCTTGATCTCCAATCATTGTTGTGGGTTTCCACACGCCGAGGCGGTATTGCTTAGAGGTTAACTGAGAGGCAACCAGATCATATCAAACGAGGTCCTCATTACTTGAGTCGCACTGCTTCCAATTCGACGCCACCATGATTCGATTCAGCAGCTATTGTGGTCCTTTACGACCTGGAGACTTCTGAAATATGGTTGAGAAGCTGACGGATAGTATTCCTTAGAGTTGACAAGACGAACTTGACGTCTTCAACGAAGATCACGACTGAGAAAACGAAACCCCCAGGGTCTGAGGAACACAGAAGCTGGTGTCATTCAATCTGAATAACGCATAATTAGAGCGCTGTACTAGATTTTGAACGGATCCTCAATATGATAGAATCACTCATATCCCAGGAAGTATTTTCAAAATCTGTAAATCTTACGACGGTTGGTGAGAAGAGAATGCTCCGTCAGCTCTCGGAGTCGAGGTTCGGGGGTGGCATCTGCCTCGACGTGTCGACTCATGAATACACCAAGTGTGGCAGTGCTTGACATTAGTTGTATTGAGTCGTCACTGTTTCTGTTGGTTGGGCCACCGACAGAAGACCCAGATTCTTGATTCTTGAATGGCTGAGACCCATGCAACCTTAGCCGCTGAACCCATGCAGCAGGAGAGGAGCGGCCCGCAGCGCCCGCCGCGACTGTGCCGCTGGGCGATGGCAGGGCAGAATCATGTCTTTGGGGCAAGAGGAGGTCTTTCGGCATTTCATTGCAGGTTTTGTGGCATGATGCCTCTCATTCTTCAATTCTGCCTCCGATCGTCAAGAGTCGTTCTGCATTTCGAGGGCTGGCGAACGAGTTCTCACAGCATATTCCGACTCTCAAGTTGTGTACGCTTGATGTTCTAACAGACCTGCGAAAGAATCATGGAGATAGCAGCAAGTGGATTTGCCTTCGTCCAAGTTGGCGTGGGCGCCGGCAAAACAATCGTCCAAGCCATCCAGCTGTGGGAGCAGGTCAAACAGCTCCCACGAGAACTCCAATCACGCATTCACAAGTTGAAACTATTCAAACAGATAATCATTCAGATTGAAGACGAGTTTGCGCGCCACCCCAACCTGCGCGCGCGCCCGGCGGCCCAGCAGTGCCTCGAGCACGTCCGCGATGCTGAGGCAGCGCTCCTTGCGCACGTTGAGAAGATGAGCGCCTTAGTCCAGCAGCCGAAACGCAAGCTGAGGCGTCATGTTAACTCGTTCAAGATCATCTCCCTCAAGAAGGAGGAGTTGGCGGCGCTCGAGAGCGAGCTTGCCTGGGCGATGGAGTTGATGCAGCTGGCGATTTCCCTGTTTCACCTGTAAGCTTCGTGGTCTTCTGTGACAGCGCGTCTGCTGATATGAGTGTGTAGGGTAAAAGCTGAGCTATCCGAAGAGATCATTGTCAGCCAAACGTCGAATCGAGTCAGAGAATATAGCATTGCTTGTCAAGAGGATGTGATACAGAAGACGGCGCAGGCTGTAGTCCAGATGATGAGAGCTGAGTCGTTGCCTATGATAGACAAAATGTCCTCTGGCACTATGGTCTCTCAGAAGGACGATTCCGGTCAGATGGATAAGGGGCAAAAAAGTCGGAATTGGCCGTCATATTTCGAAACCACCTTATTTGGAAGATATGCATTCCGCCGCTCACGAAACGATGAGGGATGGATCGCGTCCCTACAGATTCCCTGGTCTCAGCGCGTCACAGAATTGCGCTGGACAGGGTGGCAGTATCGCTTCCACTCTTACAACATCCGACCGAAGACCGCGCCTGTCTTTAAAGCTGCCGAGCAGGGGGACATCCGAGAGTTAACAAAACTCTTCAGAACGGGGCAGGCCTCGCCCTTCGATAGGAACGAGGCGGGCCGCTCCTTACTATACGTGCGTGCTTAAATGTACTCGACGGGGCTGAAAGCTAACACGCACCCAGCTCGCCGCAAAAGAGGAGAGGCTGGAGGTCTGCGAAATGCTCATCAGAAAGGGTGTGCCTGCCGACGATGAGCGCGAAAAGCATGGCTAGTAAGTTGTCCGACTCATCAAACCATTGAATCTCCTAACCATAGAGCCAGCAATCCTATAGACGCCATAGTCGTCTCCCGTCAGAACTTCACCGGAGCAGATGACGAAAACCATGCATCCCTCGTCGCTCTATTCGAGTCGGCCGCGTATACTTCAGACACTCTCACAGTTGAGCGCCTGTTCAACTTCGTGGCCGAGTTCTCCCAAAGTGACGACTTCCTCCGCGTGTACCAGTCCCAGTTCCTGCGGAACTACCAACGTCTCCCGATACGAGACCGCGCAGAAGCCGTCCGCCTCGGCTCGTTTCTCGTCCGCGACGCGACGACATACAGACGCTTGCTCAACCCCGTCACCAAGGCCGTCACGCCCGCGGACACACGCGAGTCTGTGAGCGAGAAGCTCTCGCTGGTCCACTCTGCCGCGATAGCGTTGGGCAAGAGACTCGCGGACGAGCTGCAGTACGACCCGAAGGCTTTCCGGGCGCGGTCGTACACGGATTCCTGGAGCGACGTCGTGATCGAGACGGTCGAGTCCGCGGATAGCGAAGACTTGCACGGCGTAGAGACGGTTGTGCCTTGGGACTGGTTCCGGGTGCCGGCCTGGAAAGGTACACCGTTGACGTCCCTCCTCGGCGGCGCTCTGTGTCGCCTGGCGCCCGAGATTCCGGATTCGAAGTGGGACAGCGTTTTTCAACGGGTCCTTGGACAGTGGCTGCAAGATTTACAGGAAGCGGGCGTGGACTTGTTAAAATATGGGAAAGGCGAGGTGATGGCTCAGAAGTTGTGCCCAGAGGTCAAAGGCGCATTCGACAGCGACGCGATTAACGCTTCCCGAATCACAGTACGCTATGAGCTGCAAGAGCCGAGCAAAGAGTCGTGGATGAACGCGGTCGACGCGGAGTTCGACCGGAGCGACAGATACTGGATGCCCATTCGCATCATTGCTCTAGACTACGGTCCTCACGCTAAAGATTGGAGGGTTCGATGGCTGGTAGAGTGGGAGGCTTTTGCGGGGGAGTTCTGGAGGACTGTGGAGGCGCCGAGAGTTGTCATGCCTGGCAGTTGGGTTGATTGAAGCCATTCGGTTCTTTCACTCGCTCTCTCATTATCTCTGGCCCAACATAGATTTTCCCACATCTTCTGAGTTGACGGTTACAACCCTGGGAATTTAAGCGCTGCGGAGGGGCTGCGTCGGCGCTTAAACCGGGCCATCTCGGGGCAGGCCGGGCGGCTTTATCGGCCCCACTGGGTACCCCGCCATAGGTGGGCAGGAGCTCCCCCCGCGCATTCGTCATAGCCCGCCCTGATATGCTTCAAGCTCCCGCAGTGCGGGGCAAGGGGCAGATCAGGTCACTCAGCTGTCTGCTACTTCCCAAGCTCTAGCTGTCTACCAGCTATACCTTTTAGCAAGCAACATTTCGTGGGTTTCTACAACCAATCTCTCCAGCGCCGAGGTCTACTCTACCAAACTTCCATTCAACACGCAAACATGGCTTCCGGCAGCACACGTCGGCCCGGAAAACAGGGTGAATGGTACACCGGCGACCCGACCAGGCTGTCCAAGCAGCTCGACGGGTTCTTGTCCGACGTCCCGGACCAGATTGACGGCGACGGCTTGCCTGTCCCCGGCGCCAGGGTCATCATCGCGCCGTGAGTCTCTTCCTTTCCCATGCCAACTATCTCCTCAAAACTGCCAGACGATTAACCACCATCTCGCCAGTCATGCGGGCTACTCCTACTCCGGCCCGACGGCAGCCTGGGCCTACAAAGCCCTCGACCTCTCCAAAGCCAAGCGCGTCTTCCTCCTCGGGCCCTCGCACACCTACTACCTCCGCGGGGTCGCCGTCACGACGTACAAGAACTACGGCACGCCCTGGGGCACGCTGCGCGTCGACGAGGAGGTCACCGCCGAGATCCGCGCCCGGGACGGCGTCGCCGACATGCCGGTCCGCAACGACGACAAGGAGCACTCGCTCGAGATGCACCTGCCCTACCTCTTCAAGCGCCTCCAGCAGACCTTTGGCGCGGAGGAGAACTTCCCCACCCTGGTCCCGATCCTCGTCGGCGACAACAACAAGGCCGAGGAGAAGGAGGTCGGGAAGTGGCTCGCGCCGTACCTCAAGGACCCGGAGAACGCGTTCATTGTGAGCTCGGACTTTTGCCATTGGGGCAGCCACTTCGACTACACGGTGTACTCGCCCGACGGCACGGTCGAGGGCATGCAGCGGCTGCGCGGGTACAGCGCGCCGGATGGGCCGCCGATCCACGAGACGATCAAGATGGTGGACGACCTCGCGATCGAGGCGATCAAGACGGGCAAGCACAGCAACTTCTACGACAACCTCAAGCAGACGAAGAACACGGTCTGCGGGCGGCACCCGATCGGGGTGACGATGGCCGCGCTGGAGGAGCTCGGCGAGGGGCACCCGGTGTTCAGGCTTGTGCAGTACCAGCGGAGCAGCATGGTGACGGAGCCAAGCGACTCGAGCGTGAGTTATGTCTCGGCGTATGCTGTGGTATGAGGGTCGGGGAGTATCGCGAGAAGGCTTGTTGAGAAATGAGGAGTTTTCGGATTTTGGTGTTCAATCGGTCGGGAAAGGGGATGGTACAGGCGTGTGTGGCATGAAGGAGTTTTCTGAGGTGGGTTAGACACGGGTTTCAAACCGACGATATGGCAGGGAGAGCATGACACGCAGAGAGTTGAATAGACAAGCTTTTTGTCACTGTGTAATGCGATGGTGTGGTTTGTGCACCTATGCAGCATCTAGTTCTTTCCGAACAGACAAGATAGATTGAGAGAGTTTCTCCAGACTCATGTTGAATCGTTCATATATCTTCTCATGTTCGAAAACTTGGGTTCGCCAAAACTCTTCAGCTAAGTTCGTGAGCGCACCCCAGTTCTGAGAGCACGATAGCGTCAGACGGCCGAAGCAGCTGCAGCTTTCCATACCACAGACATACTTCATCACTTGGTAGGCACGTGGGCTCACAATCCCACGACCAAAACCACTGACTACATTTCATCCCAAAGTCACCACAGAGGTCAAAGACACCACAATGTCGCACACGGCCCAAAAGAGACGAAAGGCCAGATATGGGGTGGTATAAGTAAAACGGCCGCCGGCCGGCTCGCATGAACGCGACGGCGCCGCTCGGGTCTGATCTTATTCAAGCCGATATTCCGTACTATGCAGTCGGGGGAGGGGAAGGGGAAGGGCCGTTGGCTGTCCCGTTCGGGATGACGAAGCAACTCAGATCTTTTCACGGTGTGGGAGGGAAGGTCCTGGTGGGAGAATGCTGCACAGCCCTATGGGACTGTCCTTTCCTCCCTTGGCGCCAAGGGATGGGACATGTGGTGTAGCCAGCAGCGTTCTTGGGCACGATAGGGCTAAGCGTTGCGGGCTTGTTCTGGGTATTCTCGGGATACTTTGTGGACAGGCGGAGAGCAATGGAATGCGTGATCAAAAGCTTCATCGAGGAAGTTGAGGGGGTGGGAAGGCAGACTTGCTTCCCCTCCTCGGAGATACTAGCGTACCCCGCGCGTCGTGGCGATGCCAACGCCGGCAGCGAACAAGATTTCTTCTTTTTTTCCCTTTTCTGAGAAGAATGCTCAGCATTGACTTTGGCGCAACGAGTGTCCAAATGGGATATTCCCAGTCTTCTGAAGGGGGCACAATTCAGAGTTCTTCGGGCCAAGGATCTGGACCGCTGCTTGTGGCCGGACTGCAGCGGATTCAGTGGTGCATTTTCAAGGGAGCACCTGGGAGGAAGTGCTTCGTCCCGGCGGAAGGCGCAGGTGTGAGGCGGGATTGGGAGCCGGCCGGTCGATGTAAACGGGACGGTGTGGAAGGCTGTGTCCGTTGGGTGGGAAAACTCCGTAGGACTTTGAATTGATGTCCTTGGCGAGCTGAGCTTGATAACCCGCGCCTCTTCGTGCGGCTGCGGATTTGATCGAAAGCTCCATAGTAAGCAAAGCTGTTAGGCACCTGTGTTTGCACGTACGAATACCCCCGGTATGGCGGGGATCAAGTCCATCGGCGACGGGGCTGAACTGGTCGGGTGGGCTCTAGCCGTTCGCGGGCAAGTTCGAACCCGCCCAGCCTGCTGACGATGGGGACCGATGGGCTTACGGCTTGCAGCAGACCGAGTCTAAAAGTAGGCGAAGGAAGGTGAGCGGCCGGGGGTGTTTTCTGTGGTGTTCCTGACGTCGGGGGTTCTTCTTGGGAGCTGGCTACATCATCATTGCTCCCCAGGCGGAAGAAACATGGAATACCGGATGATGGGGAAACCCCAGAGTTTACCGCACCTTTTTCGGAGAAGCTGATGCCCAGCTTAGCTTGAAGTCTTGGATGAGGGTGAGGCTAAGCTCAGCCGTACAGACAGACACATGTCCACGGAGACGGACGGAACTTTGGGAGAGCGGAGGGGTGAGGTGAAGCGAAGGGGGGAGACAACACATGCAGATGGCAAGCCTCTTTTTTTCGTGTAGCCTTAGCTCTTTTGGTGGTTTTCCGAGACCGTAAGCTGGAGAGCGGGGTGTGTAGGTGTAGGAAGCTGCAGCTGTCTGGTCTGCTGCAGCACAGTGGCCGGAAGGATTCTCTTGACTGGATTGTGTTAATTTGGGTTGGTCTTTTTGTTCCGTTCTGGCCCAGCCTGATTTTCCTTTTCCTTCTTTGGGGGGAGGAGGAGCTGTAGATGAGATGGTGTGTGTGGATGGTTTAAGAGGCGGCGTTCCCATTTTCTGGATTGCTGACGGGGTCTTCTTGGTTTTTATTCCTTTTCCCAATTTTTCCCTCGAAGTACGTCTCGATCACCCAGTCTTCAGTTCCAGCATCACCACTGCCCCCGGTTTCTTGGTGTTGCTTGTTTTCTGGGGCCCGCCCATCGCCGAAACACACAGTCACCACCACCATTCGACTGTCACTGAAAAAGAAAGAAAAGTCCAATCAACCGATTGGAAAGCAAAAAAGTCAACGTCTCAGAGATAGGTGAAGGTGGTTGATTCGACTCGCTCACAACGACCGTCGTGGGCATTGATCGACCCGACCCGTCCACACACACACCACACACCACCGAAGGCATTGAAGCCAGGCATCACCACTGCGGGCCAACACGAACACGCAGTGCACCACCATCGGCACGCCAGCAGCGCAGGAAACAAAAAAGAATCCCGCGAAACGAACCAGTACTGTCAGCAAACTTGATTGGACAGCAATCTGCGTGCGTGGGTTTCAACAGCACCCTCAGCAGCGGCCTTTCGTTGGCCGGTAAAAAAAGACGCTGCGACCGAAGCAAGACGCAGAAAGCGGCCAGACGGGACGCGATTCGATTCGCTCACGACTTGGGCCGTCGACGACATCCCTGCAGCGGCAGGCTCAAAGTTGCCTCCTCCCCCATTGCCCATTGATACTTTGCCGGCGCAGTGTCGTCACGAGACCGCTCGAAGCCGCAAGTTCAGCAACGTTTGGCAGGCTGTGCATTGGTCAATCAGCACCTCAACAGCGTTAGCCTTCTGGAGTCTCTGGGTTTGCACATTTGGCACGAACGGTCAGTCAGCGAGCAATACAGCCAGAAAGGAAGCACCTTAGGCATAACGGAGCATCAAAAGCCAAAAGTTGCTCAGGCCTTACCTCAGTCTTTAACAGAGAAAAGGAGGGGAAATTCAGTCAGCAACCGTCGCCCAACGTCACCAATAACCGCTTTTTGGAGCTGGTGCATTAACTGATCGGGACGTCGTCCTCGCATCTCCCGCGCGGCGCCTCAAGTTTATTCGCCTCGGGCGTGTTACACCACACCCGAAAAAGAGCAGCGACTCGACGAAGTAACAACTCCCGTAGTCCAAGTAGGGGAGTGAGTCCAAGCTTCAGGGTCCATTCATCGCCCCGCCCTCCGACCAATCAGAGGCCACGCAAGTGCCCTGAGTCGAGACACCACCCACTGGGAGTCTGGGACCGTCCTCGCTCTTGGGAGGAGTTCCTGCACGCCGCACGCCGCACGCAGCACGCAGCAAGCACCCGCGCCCCTTTCCCTTGCGTGTGTTGCATTGCCCCTGTCGCTGTCACCACTCTGGACCTTAGCCGGTACCTTACCTTCATCATCATCAGTGTGTGCCAAGTATCTCGAACCATCAAAAGTTACTCGACCACGAACAACAACAAGTACCTTGCATACAAAACATACAACAGACTACAGCAGCAGCCTTACTCACGACGGCGGCCATCAGTCAGAAAAGGACGGCGACGAAATACGAACAAAAATAAACCAGCCCTCTGCAACGGCTGCCTCTCATAATCAACACGGACCCTCCATCATCTCTCGCTACCTAAACGGCGATCATTCCGCAGCCAGGGCCCCCCTTCCCAGCTGCTCACAGACAATTCGAATTTCTGCTACAAAGAAGCGCCTCAAGCCACACCTCCCGCGCACCAGCACTGAACCCAGCAGCAATACCAAGCAGCAGCAGCAGTGCACTTCCATCAGTCAATCAATCCAACGTGGAATCTAATCCAAAGGTGGCCCGGCCCATTCGCACCTCCTCGCCTCGTCTCGCTTCTCCCCTGAGCAATCTACCCACAGAAAGAGCCACCCCCGGCCCAGCGTCGCCTTCCCTGTCTCCTGGTTCCTCTCTTTTTTATCCACATCCACCACCAAAAAGAGACACCAAGACCTTTTCTCGTCTTCTCATCGCTGTCGCTGCCGTTACGCTGTCACTCTTGGACACTGCAACATTCCATCTGTCGACAAAATCCGTCTCATCTCCCTCCTTGGAAACAGCCCATTCTGCCCGTACTCAATTGCTTCTACCACCTCATCGATACTGCCTGCCTGCCTGCCTACCTACCAAAGAAATAAAACCAAAGACAAAAAGGCATTGATCGATCCGACTTCTTTCCTTTGCGTCGCGCGACCGACGACACCTCGACTGCGAGAAATCAATCCTCTTTGAAAAATCGCCCCGTCGTCGCGCAAGGAAGAAGCCTACGCGCTTCGCAGAAGCAGCCATGAGTGTCAGTGTTTCACCCCAACCCTCGCACTTCCGGCGTTTCGACCGCCGCCCTGTTCCTGTTCTCTCCCAGTCTCTTTGCACCCATTGCACCCACTGCCCTGCCCTACCGACGTTGCATTGCGTCGTGCCTTTCTCTGCCATTGGCCTGACTCTCTGTGTGTCGCGCTGTGTCAAACCCCCCAGAGGCACAAGGCACATGTTCTGGCCTTTCTCCCCCCCTTCTCGAAGTCGAATGTCCTCCACCCGGTCGCTCCCTTTTCCGCAATCGCAACCCAACCCAAACCCCCCAAGCACAAACATTTTGACTTTGGATCGATCACCAACCTTTTTCTGCACATCATTCATTCTTGCTTCAGCCTGGTTGCGTTGCATTTGTATGGTGTTGCTTGCTTTTTACCACTCTACCGCCTTTCTCTCGACCTCACCTCCCTACCTCTCCTAATCCAGTCCTCCTCCACTGGTGTCCGAAGCCGAAACTAACATCATGGCACAGTACGGGTATGTTTCTCTGTCTTCAGGAGCCGACGGCGCCCACGACGACGAATACGACCTCTCCCGCGGTAGACTAACAGACTCAACTAATGACAGATACGGTGGTCGTCAAAACCCCTTTGACCAGCGCGATGACTCCCCTTCAGGGGGCGGAGGCTACGGCGCCCCCATGAGAGGCCCTCCCCAGCAATCTTTCGGCTCAGGGCCGTCTCCCTACGGAGGATCTAGATATAACAACGGACCACAAATGGGTAGGGACCAATACGGTATGCTCCATGACCGCGACGGTCGTCCTCGCTCGCATCGCTCACACGCGTCCCTCGCAGGAACGAACGTCGAAATGGAATCCCTCGCCCAAAACGCTGGTGGCTTCGGCCAGTCCTCCGACCCTAACGCGATCCTTAACGAGTGCCGATCCATCGACCAAGGCATCGACCAGATCGAGCAGAACCTCAACCAGCTCCGCATGCTGCAAGAGCGAACACTCACCGACGCGGACACCTCCGCGAACTCCGCCACCGCCCGCCAGCTCGACGCCCTCTCCTCCGAGACGATGACCCAGTACCGCTCCCTCACAGACCGCGTCCGCCAGGTCAAGTCCACCCCCGAAGGCCAGACGCCCAAGAACTCGCCGCAGGTCGGCCGCGTCGACCGCCGCCTGAAGGGCGCCATCCAGCAGTACCAGCAGGTCGAGTCCCAGTTCCGCAAGCGCACCCAGGACCAGATGGCCCGTCAGTACCGCATTGTGCGCCCTGACGCTGACGAGCGCGAGGTCCGTGAGGCTGTGGAGGATGCCGGCGCCGGTGCCCAGATTTTCCAGCAGGCTGTCATGCAGTCCGGTCGCCAACAGCAGGCCAATGCCGTGCTGTCTGCCGTCCAGGACCGCCAGGCTGCCCTGCAGAAGATTGAGCAGCAGATGGTCGAGCTGGCTCAGCTCTTCCAGGACATGGACGTCCTCGTCGTCCAGCAGGAGGCCGCCGTTACGCAGATCGAGCAGAAGGGCGAGGAGGTTGTCGAGAACCTCGACAAGGGTAACCAGGAGATCGGCGTGGCCGTGAACACGGCGCGCAAGACCCGCAAGAAGAAGTGGTGGTGCCTGGGTATCTGCGGTAAGTGCTCCAGCGAGGCTATGTTCCAATTTGCCACTAACTCAGCCCAGTCCTCATTATCGCCATCATCGCCGCCGTCGTCGCCATCTACTTCGCCGTCATCAAGCCCGGCCAGACCGCTGCCGCCCCCGCCGCTGGCGCCCGCAAGCGTTCACTCGAGCTCGGCTCCCTCCCCGCCTTCTCCAACAGCGTACCCGTCGACGTCAGCTCCGTCCACCCGCAAAAGATTAGCCGTATCATGCGCCGAATCGTCACACCGGGCGCCACGTGGAGCCCCGACGCTGTACAAGACGCCGCTGTCGTCGCCCGCGTTGGTGGAAAGTGGGATATGCCCGCTGTCCGCAACTAGACGTCACACACTACCTCTCCGACACTGTACAAAATATACCTCCATACCACCTTTAACCGGCCGCCCCGCGGGGCCGCCATGTCTCCTTATCCCGCATAACCCGTCATTCCGACTTGACGTCTGGATCGATTTCTCATAACCGTTTACCACCATAAGAGTTACTCGCCTTTTTATAGACGGACTGGATCAAAGGGAAGGCAAAACTTCTTTTTTACTTCTGCAGCAGTACACACATACATGTCTCTCTTCCGGTTTGGGTGGAATAACAAAACCAAGGAAGGGAAGAGAGCAGATGATGATGGGAGAAAGGATCCCGGGAAACCCAGGCCTTGGGGATTTTGATATTTTCCCTTGTGTGAAGAGGCAAAACAAAACAAGGATCATTTCGTATAGGGTGTTTCTTTGTATACCCACCCGTAACCAGACTTTCTTTTACTGTTTGCCATGTTGGATTTTTACTTGCTGTCTGTGAAAGTGCGTCGCGTCTTTTGGATTCAACATGCTCCCCTCTATGAAGGAGAGGGGGCATGGTAGTTGTTTTGGCGCGAAAATTCTTTGTTTTGTTGCATTCTGGGCGTTGGCACGTTGAGTAAATATAGTCTGGTTCCGAATTGACATTATTAATATGATAGAAGAGTCTTTGCCTCAAGTGAAGTGTGTCGAGGTGTCCAGCATAGAAACATTTGGTGTAGTATGTCTACAGGCAAGTGGTATCTACGAGAGGCATAGCAAGAGGGATCGCGCCTGGGGAAACGAGGCTTTTGTGACGGCCCCCCAAAGTATGACATGGCAAGGTAGCAGGTGAGCTCTGGAGTCTCGAGGGTGGAAACTTCTTGATAAAGGACGCGGAGTTCTAGAATGTTGGTTCTCTAACAATGGGCCTCTCCAAGCCAATTTTCACAATGATGTCCCGTGACCATGGTTATGGATGGTTCTCTGTCGTGTTTTGGCGCGGTGAATGGACTGATGGTTGGCATATGTGGTTAGTGAGGTGAGGTGTTGGGATTGTGATGGGGCTCTGGTGTCCGTCACGCGGGGTTGGAGGTTTGTGGGTATTTGGATGGATTTGTGGGAGTGAGGTGAGTTTGAGAGGTGGGAGGTTAGCTGGGGAGGCGAGGTGATGGCAGTGTGTTCACAGCATTGGCAGTAAGGTGTAAACAATGGGAAGGTCCTGTTGCATTTGTGGCTCCTTGGAAAAGGAAAAACTCTTGCTGTTGAGGATGATGTTCTTTTATATTGGTTGCTTACTGCACAGCATAGCCCAAGGCTGGTGTGAATCTGTTTAAGGGGATCTTGATGGGGTTTGGAATTGTTTGACCGCGCAATGAGCAACCAGGAGCTGCGATCAGATGGCCTTCTTGGGGGTTTTCGGTGACGAATGTAGGAGAAGTCTGGATGGGAGGCTCTTTGGTCTCTTGCTTGTTGGTATTGTGAGGTGGTTGGTTGGGTGCTTTGAGGAATGGTGTTGTTTTTGTCCCGCGCGATGGTCATTTCTCTTAGTTTATTCACTGGGGGTATTCTTTTGAGGCAGAGCGGTAGAGAGGTTGTTTTTCATGGAACTTCGAGGAAGTTAAGCGCTCCAGATTCAGAGGCGGGATGAGCCCCATGTTCAACGCATCCCTCTGTAACTTCTTGAGGATCCAGTGTGAAGTTTTGCTAGAAAACACAAAGCTAGTTGTAGTACTACTTTTCATAGCACCTAACCTATATCAGAGCTATATTAATCACTAAGTCTAGTCTCCTCTCAAGCTTCTTGAGCTACCTACTCCGTAAGTTAGACCATGATAGTTGGCCCGCCCGACGCATCTTTGTGTTTCCTGATGCTCATCCGAGGCGCTTCAAAGGGTCGTGCCGGAGCGTCGTGGGACTCATTCGTTTACTTGATGCATAACCTTGTATGTGATGCTGGTCAAATGATTGAGTCGAGCAGGGGCGCGATCTACATGGTCATACTCACAGGACCATTTCTTGACATGTAGGTTTTAGCGGGATGGACCGCATAGGTTAGATCCAGTTCAGAATGCAGCTTTTGTGATCCATTTGTTCTTTCAATAGCAAGATGCCTCAGTTTGTAACGGCTATCTCAATAGCAATGTGCAAGTTATCAAAACGCCCTGGAGTTGTATGTGATTATGCCCGCGCGAACACGAAAGAAAACTCCCTAGCAGGGAGGTCTGATTTTGCGGTATTCAGACCAAACAACCCAGTCTCCCCTCTCTTCCTCATCCCACGGGACGAGGTTCTCTTCTTTAACCTCCCCAGAAGACTCAAAATCATCCTTCCAACCCCCCGGAATGCTCAAGACCGGATTTTCAACCATGCGCCAAAAGTCCCCGGCGTATTCCATGTCATAGACGGACCACCATACTTTCCACTGTTCAGGCAACGCTCCGTAAGTGATCCCAACAACTCTGAAATAGGTATACCGATGACCCGCCTGCTGAGCCCTCCGTGGGATTCTTCCCTCTCGATCATAGAAGCCAGAGCACCTATCTCTGTGGCCATACTCCAGAAGGTTGACCCCATTGGCGTACAAAATCTCTACCCAAGACCTTATAGCTGACTGCAAGATGCAGTCAAATTCCTGAGGAGAATTTGAATGGAACCTATACATTATGATCCAGAGCATCATGACAAGCGACGTCTCCTCCGCAAGTGTCTTTGACTTCTCTGACAAATCTCCCGGTTTGAATTTTGCAATTTCACCAAGTGCGTGATGATAACTGCCTTTCTTTGGGAGATGGGGTAGTTCGCCGTTTGATTGCAAAAGCTCCCAGCCTACTCCGAGCCCAACCAAATGCGACAGAGCGAGTATCTCTTCTGACATGAGCCGGAAAGACGTGATCACCTCGGCGCTGACAGATCCAACTTCTGGTAGTAAACACAAGACCTCTCCGAACGTCCAGTACTTCTGCGTCAACAGTTCCCAGCAATGCCACAGCCTAGATGAAAGCGGTGCTGAGGGCAATTCAGGACTCATGATCCTTTGAATCTCGCGATACTGCTCGAAGGTTCTTTTACGCACTACCAAGGTCCATATTTCATCATCTTCTTCAGCGATGTCTGGCGTGTAGTCCATAAAAATCCGTAAGATTTGATCATTACGTTCGAGTTTCCCGGAATGCCAGGGATCATACAGCAGCCTTTCTAGTGGAGTCCTTCAAATTCCGTCAGCCTACCAAGATTCATATTTGCCGGGATTGGGATCTTGTGTCACTCACCTGGCCTTGATTCTTGCCGAAATCTTGCTTTTCGGTGTTTGTGACCATTCACCGAAGGATCCAGGGTATAGACCGGCGTGCAAAAGCCATCGTGATATCTCGACAGCGCCCCATTTTACAGCATGCTTGCAAGTGGTTTTTGGTGAGCGGACCTGTCAAAGCAGAGGATTTGGTTCTTGCCGGGGATAGCAAGCCTTCTGGTATACTTACCATTAGAAGGTTACGGCCGTTTTGTTTATGAACATACGGTGTCAACTTTGCTTCATGAAGACGCCTCTGCAAGTCGATGACATCGTCGCCCTCCACGGCGTCTAGAATGCCATATGGGATTTCATCTACCACCGCGTAAGATGATAAGTTCAACTGCCAACCTGACACACTCTGCTGGGCCATCACAGAGTACACAGTATTTCCAAGCCAACTCGGGATGCGAATGGAAATGTGACAGGTTTGATAGTTGAGACCAAACAGGAGTCTGCCCAGGATGGTTGTGCCTTTAGATATCGCCCCAAAGTCTGGCATGGACTGCTTTGCAAGATATGACTTGCTTGGTCTCGGAGATTCAAACATGAACGTATTATCTTCTGAGACCGAGAAATTTTCCGATTGAGTTTCGGCCGTGTCGAATTCAAGCCGGGGCGGGAGATGAAGTCGCTGGGCGTTTATGGAAGCGCATGTTTTGCTAAACAAGTGTCAGAAGTCAGCGTCGTCTGAGCAGCGAACAATCTCAGAGGCCTTACAAGATGTAACGGCTCTCAGCCATTTTGTAAAGGCGCAGAGCATTGTCGAGTTTCCGTTCCATCGCTATCAAACTCTCCTTCTGAATCACAACTCTAGCGGCTGCGAACTTTCGTCTATGTCGTCGTTTGTCCTCAAGACTGCGATTATGCGCATCTAGAGTCATTCGTAAATCTTCCATCGCAGCGCGAGCCCTGCCCATGGCCTTCTGCATGATGGCGTCGTTCCAAGCCGGTGTCGGCAGCGGGTTGTTGGCAGCGTGGATCTCATCATCGCGGAGGATTTCATCGAGACATTGGAGTTCTTCCGCCTTCTCCAGAAGAGCGGCTGGCACGTCTTTGACTTCGTCCCAGAGACATTTGAGCTTGAAGGTTAGAGTGACGGCTTTGCCCGCCAGGTCGATCACGGCAATCACGCTGGCCGCAGTACCGAGAGCTTCTGCCATGACGATGGTAGAGTCCTGGTAAAGTTGATGCGCGATTGAGGGGTGATGCGATTCGAGTGGGATGAAGAGGGAGAAATCGTCCAACTTCATCAACGTTACGGGTCGTCCGGGTATGCCCACAGCCTGATCTGCCACACCTCCATGCTGGGCAGGGCTGCATGTCAGAAGGCGCAGTATTGGCTTAGGACCATCGCCCCCATGATCATCTGGTACTCGCGCATATGCAAGTAGACTGCGCCGAAAAACAGCTGCGCATATCATGGATGTCGACTTCGGGGGGAGGAGTCTTCTGTCACTGGGTTTGCGCGGTTGCATGGCCGCTCAACTGGAGCAGAACAAGTTGCCTGCCCATCAGTGGAATGCGCCTAGCTTACAAGGAAGCGGCTTACTGGGTATCTTTTCGCGAAGAATCACCTCCCAGACTTGCAGAAATTCTTGTGACTCTTCGCCTTGCGTCGCAGTTCAGCATCTGACGGCTTAGCAGGCCCCGAATGCGCGATCGTTGACGTGACTCCTGACTGACTTGTCTTTTTGAGGCCTTCCGCATTGCCAGTGGTAGCCGATCATGCTTCGGGCTTTGAAAATACTGCATTATTCTTCGGCTCTGCCAAATTGCATCCGCAATGGCGTCTTGCTGTCTTCGATACCTCATCCGGAGAAGACGTCTCTCCAATACCCTCATCTCCATGCGCACTCATCAGGTCAATTAGGCAACGAGTCACATCTTCCCCGAATCTCGACATTCAATCGTCGCTTGATTTCCTTGAAATTTATCTATGAATGCCGCTTTAATCACTTTCAGCTACGAAAGACTCCCGCTCTTCGGGCGGATACTAGGAGTCCGCCCGGTTAGCTGGAAGTACGAACTGCTGGCTGAATAAGCTCGCGGCTTCGCCAAGACGACGGGCGAAAAGAAAGAAGGCTGGTCTAGAACCATACAGATAAGAGACAAAGATCAAATTTATCTTAGAGAAGTATGTACTTTATCGGAACAAATGAGAAGTTCCAGACCCCCCCCCCCCCCCCCCCCCCCCCCCCCCCCCNCCCCCCCCCCCCCCCCCCCCCCGAAATCTAATTCCTAGGCCGTTCGCCGTACCGCGCCTGTGCATCTCGACCTCAAGACTAGACTGTCCCACAAACCAACGCAGGAAATCAGACGTCGTGATATAAACAAGAATGATAAAACTCAATTTGCAGGTCTGATCTTGCGATATTCCGACCAAATGAACGGGACTTTCTCCTCATCTTCATCGCCATTGTCGTCGTCAAAATCATCTGTCCAGCCTCCCGGGACGTTGAAACCAGACGTAGTTGAACCTGGATTTTCCACCAAATTCCAAAAGTCTGCCGCGTAATTATTGATATTCGGAGCCCACCACAATCTCCACTGATCGGGCAATGAGCCGTATGTGATACCGAGAAACGAGCAGGTGTAAGGGATCCCAATCATGTACCTATTTTCTGAGTCGGCACGCGAAATGGTCGTTTCTGATAAGTACCAGCCGAGATCTTGGTAGTAATTTTTCTCTTTTCGACCATAATACAAGAGATCAGCACCACTGTCGTAGAGAACGGTCGCCCAATGTGTAATTGCTGATCGAAGAAGCTGATCAAGGACTTCGGGCGGATTCCAGTTCCAGGTTAATCGCTCGAGAAATATAAATAATGGTGTAACTCCAGGCATGCCCAAATAATTGCCTTTGGGAGGAAATATGATGTCTTCCGGGTCCAACCAGACAATATCGCCCAGAACTCGATAGAAGCTGCAATTTACTGGCAAAACTGACCGTCTGTGGTGAAGTCTTACGAAATCTCGGGACAGACCTGTTGCTGCTATTGCTGAAAGCCCCATCTCCCACTGGTAACTTCTGCAGATTTCGATGAGGTGTTTGGTGAGAGTCTCGGCTTCGGGTAAAACCTTTTTGACTTCGTGCCAACTCCAATCGCTAAAATTCACGCCATCGGATGCGTGTGCATATCTCGTGGACAGATCAAAAGCGGAATAGCGAGGTTCTATCACCATTTGGATTGCTGTGAAATCCTCATATGATCTGTCCGAGATCATTGTACCCCAAATCTGATCATATGACTCAACCGTGTCGGGCATATAATCCTGACAAAGCTTGAGGATCTCAACTTGATGACTTCGCTTCTTTGAATCAAAAGTCGCTATATAAAACTCGACAGGTGACCTTTTGGGGCAGTTAGCAAATAGCTATTCAGCAAGCAGAAGGTATATTCTTGCACATACTCTGCCATTGAGACAACATAGCCAGCATCGCATTCATCGAATGAGCCTGGTTGCAGGCCACAGCTCAAGAGCCACTTTGCTGTCTCAACAGACTCGTTTGTTAAAGCAACCTGTTCATGACACAATCAGCATGCAGTGTCAGAAAAAGTAGAAAAAACCACAGAGAGAGATTATTATACTGACGTGGAGCAAGTTAAAACCGTAACTGTTATGGACGAATGGCGTGAGGTTGTTTCCGCAAAGATACTTTTGCAAAGCAGTGACGTCGTCTTCCTGTATTATATCGAAGACTTCGTCTTCGAAAAGGTGAATGGTCGGATACACTGAAAGAAAGGATTGCCAGCCAGCAATGCTCCTTTGGACCATTGCAGAGTAAACCTTCCCACCCAACCAGTCTGGGACTCTCATAGAGAAGCTGTAGATTTCATCGTAGTAGCCGAAACACAATCGACCCAGTGCTGAAGGACCCTCAAAAATGGCTTTCTTCCTTGGCTTAGCAGTCTTGACTGTAACAATCTGGCTCCGAATATAGCCTTGGGAGTCTCCTGGGTCGATGATAGGGCTCTTATTATGTGTGGAGATGACCACGGTACTCGTCGACTCAGCAAGTTGTTTGTAGATTGATCTGTTGTATCGGCTAACAGAGTAGTATTAGTCTCTATTCACAGCAAGCATTTGCATAAGTAGATCTACCCATAAACGACGTTATTGGCAAGCTTGTAGAGCTCTAGGGCCCTGTCAAGCTTCTGCTCTACCGTTCTGAGGCTGTGTTTCTGGATGACGATCTTAGCAGCCGCGATTCTGCGCCTGAATCGCCGCTTGTTGGCGAGTTCTTCTGTGTATTCACCGATCGTGTTCTGGACATCGTTCTTGGCAACGCGAGCTCTGTTGATAGCATTCTGAACAGCAATTGGCGTATGGTCTTCTGCGGCATCTTGTTCTGCTAGGTCAAGAAGCTCTTCGAGATATTGGAGATACTCTGCCTTTTCGATAAGGGTGGCCGGCATATCTTTGACCTCTTCCCAGAGCGCCTTGAGCTTGATGGTGAGGGAGATCGTCTTTCCAGCGAGGTCGGCAACAGCTATAACGCTGGCGGCAAGACCCAAGCCTTCCGCCATGGCGCTGAACAGACTGGGTTGAGGATGAAAGCAGGCAAAAGAGAGATTTCGGAAAGGTCTTGGGCCTCGGTGGGGATATTCATGGGAGGAGAGCCGCAGCCTGATTTCATATCCAGCTCACTAGGGTGGGGTTGGGTGTCAGCACATCTGAGATTGGCCGCGGAGCATGGAGTTTCTGACCATTCAGCATTTGGAGGCAGTGCCCTGCGCCTCATGTCGGCGGCTGCACAAGGCTACCTGCATGGCTTTCTTGTGCGCTCCTTGCATTTCGCGGTCACCGGGCTTGCCGAAAGGTGGCCAAGCTGTTGTATGAGCTGTCCCGTCAGGCCGGGCGGTTCAATGCAATACTTGTTGTATTTCTTCAATCGTTGTGTCCCTCGGTATCATGTGATGTATATACTAAACGCCGAATCAATCGCAGCCTCCCATCCAGAACGCCATGCCTTACAAAGTACCCAGCCTAAAATCCAAATAATCACCGCTCAGAAAATTCGCATTGATGATGTGGCCCAAGCAGGCGTACTCCCCGTCACCCATGACTTGCTGCCAGTACAATGTAAACATCTTCTCTGCTCTCCAAGGTTCGTGACGGAGCACTGCGAGCAGACGTGCTTCCCACAAGCACCGCAAGCGTTGCCTCCTTCGCACCCATCGACATCCATACCATCAGCGTCCGCCGAGCCAAGCCCTGCACCGCAGTCCTCGCAGCTCGTGGGGCTCAATGCTCTCTGGTGGACTGGCGGGCTGGCCGTCCTTAATACGGGAGGTTGCGCGGACTTGATGTTCCAGAAGCTGTGGAGAGACTTTTGTGTATTGCGTGCGGTGACGGCAGGAACGGGGGCAGGTGATAGTGATGGTTCGGTTTCCATGTGTTGATCTTGTTGTTGGGCGGAGTAAAGCATATTCAATGTGCGTTCTGTGATGCGATTGATCGTTAGTGCATCGTCTCACAGTCGTGGCGTCATTGAGTCTACTCACGATGAACCTCCTCCTGCGAAGGGCGGTTGTCGCGGAAGCGTTTCCTCGTTCGGCTGTCGAGATGTGATGGCGTCGCAAATGCGCGAGGGAAGGCCAGGCTAGGTGAGATCGGGAAGTCGAAGGACTCGACGCTGGAATCGGAGCGGGCGGGGGAGTTGAAGAGCGTCACGAGCTCGGAGGCGGAGCGCTTGCGCTTGAGGGCCATTGTGTTGATTTCGAGAGACTTGGAAGTTGCTTGTGTTCGTATGATGTTGGTAAGAGTGGTGGAATCGGTGAACACTACGGCGCAATTACTTTGAAAATAGATTGACGATATTTGTGTCTATCGGCTGTGGGAATGTTTTGGGACGGACAGGGTGGGTGAGATTCACGGCGCTAAGAAATGGAATGCGCATTGGATGGTCTGGTGCGACAGGCCTGGCGCGGCGCGTCCTGCTTTCGCGTTGCGGTCGCGACAGGACCCGCTGGGTGTTTAATGGGCCCACAGTGGTTTCCTGAAACGGGGCTGAAAGGGCTGAAGTCGCGCTGGAATTTAATGCACATCATCGCGAACGCCACTTTTTTTTGGTCTTGGATGTTTCTTGTTTCACACGCGATGGAATTTGAGGGGCAATGGCTCAAAACGTAGCCATTCTGATCTCTTGTTCCTGACCGCCGGTGTCGACAGGCCGGCCAGGTCCGGACCCGACGTGTCTCCACTCGCCCGCCGGCCCCGGGATCGCTTGGACCAGGGTCGCCCGCCGCCTTGGTTGTTTTGTCCCAGTCCATCTTGAACAGGCATCGCCATTCAAGAAGTTCTCATGGCAAAGCTGATCAAAGCTCGTTGGAGTGAAGAATCAATGATTCGCTCTGTCCGCTGACACTCATCTTTTGCCGGTTGACAGCGGTGACGAATTGCCGTTGCAAGTTGGATCATCGACCGCCGGGACTAGAGCGCACCCGAAGTCCTTGAACAGACTACCTGAATTATTGCGGTTCTTGTTGAATCCAGAAACAAAATGGATTAAGTTACGCCAAGAGCACAGAGGACCTGATGAGATGAACGGCCCAGAGGGCGGAGGACTTGATTCGTACAACTGGCCGGCGGGATGAACTAGTTCGGCTCTCAATGTATGGATTCGCTGTCAAATGGAGCACCTCTGTAAATGACCCATAACATGGTTGGAAATTCATCTATCTATGTCAAGGGTTGCATGGAGGTTCGGACAAATCGCTTTGTCCTTCGGCCGTTGACAAATGAACCATCGGCGCCTAGAGTGTAACTCGGCGCCGACTGTCGATGTCGTCTGCTATGTAAGACACTTCAAATGTGTATAAGAGGTGAATACATGAGGCCCTAGATGGGATTTGAGAACATTAGAAGCAGGCTCGCAGACAACAAGCTGTCGCTCACCAGTCAACAACACAAGATGAAGTTCACCTCTCTCACCGCCGTTCCCCTTGCGCTCCTCTGCGGAGGTAGGTCTTCTCTGCATGGATAGTCATCCAGACTCATTTGATAACAGTCTTAGTCGCTTCGTCATCTCCTCTGACCCCTCGCAACGAATCCAAGATCTTCGTTGGGCAGGTCACCGACACTTTCAACGCCTCCGTCAGGACCATTTGGGGAATTTACTCAGCCTTCGGCGCCGCCCAGCTGTACATGAAGAATGTCACCTTCAATGAGCTCACCGGCTTCGGGCCTGGCGCTGTCCGAGACATCACTCTGGCTGGTCAATTCGCTCGCGAGCGGCTGGACTGGGTCGATGCCGACAAACACTCCCTGGCTTACACGCTCTACGAAGCTCCTGGTTTGCCTGCGGTCAACATCCAGGGCACAATTGAGTTGAATGACATCGGGAACAACAACACCGAGATTGTCTGGACTGCGAGGGCTGATGCGATTACTGCTGGAGCGGAGGATAGTATTAAGGCTAGGGTGCTGGACATTTATACCAGCTCTATCGCGATTGTGAAGGGACTTGTCTAGTTTGTTGACAGAGTAGTAAAGCAGGGATCAGTCCTTCACCCTAATCAATAGCCTACCAAGGCCGCCTTTCCCTGTATCGACCTTTACGCACTCTTCCCGGATAGACTCAATGTCGGATAGTTCCACCGTACGAAAGACCGCTTTTACCTTGCCAGTAGCAATCATCTCGCCAGCTCTCTCTAGGTCTTCCCTAATTTCTGGATTACCCGACACGAATTCGTGTTGGATGTTCGTCCCTCTAAACTTGAAAGCGTACCACCACTGAACCAGGTCCAGCATCCAAGCTAGCCAGAGCGGAACCATGCCGGGCCCCATGATCTCCCTCACCAAAGGCGATGGAGGAATCGAGGCAATGGACATGATGACGCCTGTCTTGGGGTTGAGAAGGGGTATCGCTGGGTTCATGCTGTCCCATTGCGTGTTGAACATGAAATCCACGCTGCCCTTGGGAACAGCGTCTGTCAAGCTCGTCGTCTTGTAATCGATAAGTTGATCCACCATTCCGGGAAGGTACTCTTCGACAAGCTTCAACTTTGGGGTTGAGACTGTTGAAATGATTTTTGCTGCACCAAACACGTTTCTCGCAACCTGGATACCGCTAAAGCCCCCTCCGCTCAAGGCAGCCGGGACGTACACGGTCTTCCCCTCAAGACTCTCCCAACCGGCCAATTCTAGACCGCGCTTGATGGTTTGATACGCTGTCACAGTATACCCAGGAAGTGCGGCAGCTTCTTCAAAGCTTATTTGTGGCGGCTTTGGCAGCAGTAATCTCTCCTGCGTGATTGCATATTCGGAGCAGAAACCTGGGTCCGGATTGCTGAAGGCGGGACGGACGACGCCGTGGCCGTAGACTGCATCGCCGATCTTGAAGGTCTTGACTTCCGATCCGATTGCGACGACGACACCAGCGCCCTCACAGCCGAGTTTCACAGGAAATCTAGAGCAATGTCAGTCAATCTTGATCACCACTCTATGTGAGTACATGAGCACCAACGTCTCTTTCCGCGATGCAACGATCCGAGACCCCACAGCCCGTTGACAGTCGCCCTTCATAATCGCTCCGGCATGCACCCGAATTATCACTTCCGTAGGATTGGTTATTGTCGGGAGGGGCACTCCGGCAACCTCGAAGCCGGCGGGGGTGCAGTGTTGAAGCGCCACTAGGGAGCGCATCGTTTCGGGAAGGTTGTTCATGGTTGTCATGTTACAGAAGATACTGAGACAAGGAGGGAGCGAAACCCAAGTGCAGCCGGGAACTCTGTGGCTTTTAATGCGCAGATCCGGCCCGGCTGTTTGGAAGTTCGGTCGGCGGTTCGGTGGGGCTGTTCGGCGGTTTCGGTGGCATGGCCCCACCAACGACGCCGAACTCACGGCCGGTTGGACAGACTTACAATCTGCTCCAAACCTCTGCATTTTGCAAAACTCAATGTTACTTACACCAAGGTCAATCAATTTCAAGATTCTTGAAGTTCTACTAGTAAATTGCCTACACGTCGATCTCAAAGACACCAGCCTCCCGATGAGATGTCGCCCTTTAGTCGGCTTTGGTGGCGGGCTGAGTCAAGGGGCCTTTCTCGCCCTGGGAAAACCGGAGGAGGGGCACGCTGGTCGGAATAGTCGAGTTGGCAGAGCCGCCGTCTCAGACCCAGAATCTTGGAAACTGCTAGTTTTAGCTTGTCGAGGGAGGAATATTTCTGCAGCATTTCTTTTCTCAGGCTGCGCCGCCAATGCCAGGACCGCAGGAGAAGGTGCAGTCGCGATGGAGGGGTGCTCTTTCCTCTCGGCAAGTGCGGCGGGAGCGCGACTTCCATTTTGTATTTAGAGAAAGAAGGACCGACTGGATGGGAAGGAAGAGCTGGAGAAAATACTCATCATCGAGCCTTCTTTCTTCCTCATTTTTCCTCGGGCTACTTTTCTTTGGCGTCACTGGGGGTTCGGACGCTTCGATTTCATCAAAGTTCTGCTACTTTACGCGCATCTCTTCGACATTGTTTGACCCCGGCCGGTCTGTGGGATCGTCAAATGCGATCTTCGCCTCATTTCTCTGCTATTTACTCTCCGGTGCCAGGAAAGACGCAGTTCGCAATGCGTTTCCTTCTCTTCCTGACGTTTCTGAGCGGCGTCGTCTCGCGATGCTCGGGCTTCGACCCAAATTCCAAGAACAACGTTGTTGTCTACTACGTACGTCTCTTCACTCCATATTGACTGGACTCTCAAGCTGACTCCCACATAGGGGCAAGGACCTAACCAGGGCGACCTGATAGAGCAGTGCCAGCAACCCGAAATCGATGTCATCGTTCTTTCCTTCGTCCACCTCTTCCCGGCGCAAGCAAACGGTTACCCAGGCACGAACTTTGGCAACCGGTGCGGTGGGGAGGTCTACCCAGGCCCCGGATGGAATGGTGTGAACGACCCGTCAAAGGATCAGTTGCAGTCCAACTGCCCAACACTCAACGCCCAAATCCCGGTGTGCCAGCAGCAATATGGCAAGAAGATCATCCTCTCTTTGGGAGGTGGTGTAACGAACTATCAACTCACGGGCAGAAACGAGGGCGAAGTCCTGGCGACATACCTCTGGAAGATGTTCGGTCCTCAGAGCGCTGATTGGACAGGTCCCCGTCCGTTCGACAATGCCGGACAGGCAGTTGAAGTGGATGGCTTTGATATGGACATTGAATGGCCATCAACTGGTAAGTGTCGCCTTCTCCCGTATTTGTCCATACAGAGTGTAGGCTGATAGTCGACCCATAGACAACTCGGAGGGCTACATTGCGATGCTCACCCTTTTGCGTTCCTTTTTCCCGACGGCGTCGAAACCGTACTATCTCACTGGAGCACCTCAGTGCATTGTCCCCGATGCCAACATGGGCGACATGATCACTGCCATTCCGTTTGATATGATTTTTGTCCAATTTTACAACACTCCGGCGTGCTCGGCGGCGACTTGGACGGCCAGCAACCCGGCATACACTCCTGGCCAGGCCACACAACAGGCGGGATTCACCTACGACACTTGGGCTCAGTGGCTGTCGACTACAGCCAGTAGCGCTGCCAAGTTGTATATCACCCTGCCAGCTTCACCGGATGCTGCCAGTGAGGGTAACTACATCACACACGAGCAGGCTAGAAATCTGATCGATGCGTACTACTGCCGGTCATCCTTTGGGGGTGTTGCTGTCTGGGAAGCAACTAGAGGCGATGCAAACCCCTACAATGGCAAATCGTTCCAAGCTACTATGAAAGACTGGCTGGTGGAGGCTGCCGTGAACCCGTCGTTGACAACTTGCGATGTAAGTGCTCAAGCCAACAAGAAATGGCCAGTCAATAACTGATAATGCAGACAAACCCGGTACCAACGAACCCAGAGAGTCCAACGCTGCCGAACCCTGGCACGGGAGGATGCGGAGCCGGGATTGGATCCTGCGGCGCTGGATATTGCTGTAGCCAGTATGGATACTGCGGGACGTCGACGGACCACTGCGGAACGGGATGCCAGTCTGATTTCGGCACGTGTGGAACCAGCAGTACTCCTGATCCCGCGCCGGCGCCCTCCCCGGACCCACCCACCACCCCGTCACCCGGAGGCGGAGCTTGCGGAGTGAACGTGGGATCATGCGGAGCCGGCAACTGCTGCAGCATGTACGGATATTGCGGATCTGGCCTGGATTATTGCGGAACTGGTTGTCAGCCAGAATTCGGCACTTGTGGTACCGGCAATGTCGGCACCGATAGCGTGTCGGGACTGCCCGTATCTGCCGATGGTTCTTGCGGTGCGGGAGGATCGACTTGCAGAGGCAACGGTGACTACCAATGCTGCAGCCAATGGGGATTCTGCGGCAATTCGGCGTTGCACTGCGGCGAAGGCTGTCAATCTGGCTATGGTATTTGCAGCTGATCATCTTGACTGGACGCTGATGTACATAGGTATGTTTTTTGAAGCTCGTCGTACGTAATATGGGAGATAGGCCATGCGGCATAATTTGAGGGAGTCATCTGTTCGAAGCTAGCATCTGAGGACGTGATGGGATGGAACATGAGCGTCAAAGCCCAGCTGAGCTGATGTGCACTCCGAAGCACCGCCGAGTGTTCTGGCGGCGGAGAAGAGTTGAAAGTGGCGACGGAACGTCGTGTTTGACGCGAGTCCGGTCACGTGACGTTGCTGTCGCTTCCGCTCTCCATGCAGCTGCAATACCACATTTTCCTTTGAGCCGATCTCGTCTTCTTTCGTGTCAACCAACGACATGCGCGCATCGACATCTCTATCTGTGGTGCAATCTCTGGCTATTTCTTCGGAAATAACGGTCACGCAGGGAAGATATTCGCAGCAATCGCGCTGCTTTAGGATTGGCATTGCCTGCTACAGATCTAGGCACATACTTCTGGGGCCGACTGCGGGCAGAATACTCAAAATCACCAGCATGGGTTCCCGCGGGATTTGGGCCCTTGCGGTTCGGAACGCACCCCGACAAGCTCTCCCAAGGGGATGGCGCAGTCGCCGCATTCGCCGAGGTCTATCAGAGATTTCGAAGCCCTGAAAACCTTCTGGACACCGCGTCCGTCTGATCTAGACTGGTGAGCTGCTAAACGCCATGTCCTAGGCAGTCTAGTAGTGAGTTCGGTCAAATGACTCGTTCGGTGCAGGTGCTGAGAGAAGGCCTGCAGCATGCCGGCAGCAAGACGCTACAAGCTTTCGAAGCTTCCTCTGGATTGGAAGGTTTGCGAGGAATATTGGGCAGAAGAAATGTCAACGCCGCCGGAGGCGGGGGGACAAAGCTCACCACCCTCTCACCCAGCAGACACCGAAGTATCGCCCGATACCCGTCTTCTCCACATCGAAGCTTGATCGAAAGATGGTCTAAGACGCGTTATTATTGCCGCACATCAAAACCCGGCATTCTGCACGCTGCACCTATGAGAATTCACCCACGTCTCGCTGCAAACTCCGCCTGTCTAATCCTGTCGGAAATTTTCTGCTCACCTCCAATGCGTTCGGACCCGAAGCGCGATGACACGTCCTAGGCAAAAAGGGCGCGATGTAGAGCTAGCCATCATCGTGAAACCTGGTGCTCGAGAAAGAGTTGCGGGCCGCCCGTACTGGTCAGGGGCAATCTGTTCGCGGGTGGCTGCCGGCGAAAGCGCCGTCGGTAAAGCTTCAACACTCAGCATTCCCATGTTTCTGAGCCGAGGTTTCTTGCAAGAACTAGCCGCGCTCGATTGCCGCATCGTCAACGGGCCGTCATTGGAATATACTCGCTCGTTCCGGAAAGTCGATGACTCGGGCGGTTGTTCACATCGTCAAACCGATAGATCTCCAGCTGCAGGCTGTGGGATATCGCTGCGCGCGACTCATACGGCTTCATTGACGAAAGCAGCAAGCGGCTCGCGTCTGCGTTGCATGAGGAGTTTACCTACGAAGAGGGCTTGATGATAACTAATTTCACCGAGTATTCTGCGCCTCTGGTCAAGGAGAGGTTGTTCCTGGCTACGTATCTAGATGGAACGCTTCCAGAACACGCTTACGTTACGACGTCGACATTTCGGCACTCTAGCACCTCAGCAAGGCACGAGTTTACTGCCGAGGAACGCGCGTTTGATCACATATTCGCTTGTGTGCTATCCGTCGGAAAGTGCTGCCCAAAGAGCTGGCTGCAGGCAACGAAGAAGCGCCATCCGATCTGCCTGTCGCGAGCAAAACTGCGTACCCACGACTCGAAGGGACTGACACGAGGAGTCGGCGTCTACTGTAAGCGCACGGATTCCGCGGCCTAGACTCGGGCTGAGCCAGCCACGCATCTCAAAGTTGTCCTGAAAATAGGCATTTCCTTACGCACCAATGCTTCGTATGTGAGATGAGGCGCACCACACTGCGGTTTCGCGACGATCTGGCAAGCGATTGATCGCCATCTAGTTTACGAACGCAGATCTGACAAAGGCGTAGCACACAGGTTGTTTTCTCCTCCGGGGACGTCGTTTTTCAGATCGATGAAGATAGACAACTCACCAGGGACGGTCCGTCGACCCCAACCTTGGCCGACGTTTCACACGAAGCTTATGGAGACCATGCAATTAAGATCTCGGAATATAGCCGGAGGGACTCCCACTCACCTCCGCCATCCCCAGGCTTCTTCCAAGCAGCAGATCTAGACTCGTGTCTCTGCAAATTACTGCGGACTTGCTCTCCCACCCTCTTGGAT